CCAGCCCCCCCTCTCCGGCAGGTTCCTGCACTGCGCCGAGAAGGATCTGTTGCCCTACCTGGACAAGCTCAACGACAACACGCTGAAGGAGACGCTCGTCAACGGCGTGGGCTACCTGCACGAGGGGCTGACCGCCATGGAACGGCGCGTGGTGGAGCAGCTTTTCAGCTCCGGTGAGCGGGGTGGGGATCGGGACACGCCGCTTCTCCCCGGAAACCCTTTTCCCCAGCGCTCGGCACGGCCCTCCCCGCGGGCTCACGGCCCTTCCCCGCGCCCCTTGCAGGCGCCGTTCAGGTGATGGTCGCCTCCCGCAGCCTCTGCTGGGGCATGAACATCGCCGCTCACTTGGTGATCATCATGGACACGCAGTACTACAACGGCAAGATCCACGCGTGAGTGTGGTGCTTTGTGGGCCGAACCGGCCCTGGAGCCCCTCCGTGTCCGCCCTGCTCCGTCAGGCGGCGCTGGGCACGCCGCCCTCCTCCCAAAGGGCTTCATCCCCGGGGCGGGCAGAGGCTGGGAATGACCGGAGAGCGTCGGGAGCTTCCTACGGAGCCGTCGTTAACGCTCTCTCCGTGTCCCAGGTATGTGGATTACCCCATCTACGACGTGCTGCAGATGGTGGGCCACGCTAACCGCCCGCTGCAGGACGACGAGGGCCGTTGTGTCATCATGTGCCAGGGATCCAAGAAGGTGGGTGAGGAGCGGGGCGCCCTTTCTGGCCCACGAATGCTTTTCTCCTGCTCGGGGCGTGGATTTCTTCACCCAGCTTTGGGCAGGCTGGTGTATAACCCTCGCTCGGAGCCCTGCCGCCTGGGAGGCGCTGGGGTTTATCCACCCCTTCCCTCCTGCCCCGCTGTAGGATTTCTTCAAGAAGTTCCTCTACGAGCCGCTGCCGGTGGAGTCGCACCTGGACCACTGCATGCACGATCACTTCAACGCCGAGATCGTCACCAAGACCATCGAAAACAAGCAGGACGCGGTGGATTACCTCACCTGGACCTTCCTGTACCGCAGGATGACGCAGAATCCAAACTACTACAACCTGCAAGGTGAGCGGAGGGCTCTGCGCCGGCGCGGACGGCGTCGGAGGGACGTCGGGGACCCTCTGCCTGCGGGCTCCGCTTTCGCGAGAGCGCCTTTGCTCCCTCCCGGGGAGCTCCTGAGCGCCGCCGCCCCGCTGCCGTCCCCGCAGGGGTGTCCCACAGGCATCTCTCCGATCACCTCTCCGAGCTGGTGGAACAGACCCTCAGTGACCTGGAGCAGTCCAAGTGCATCAGCATCGAGGACGAGATGGACGTGGCTCCTCTGAACCTGGGGATGATCGCGGCTTATTACTACATCAACTACACCACCATCGGTGAGGGCTCCGCCGGGGGCAGGTACCGCGCGCCGGCGCTCCTGCTCCGTCCCCTCTCTGCGGCGCTCCCTGTGCCGCTGTTGATGGGGGGTCGCCGTCACGGCGGCAAA